GGATATTCGCCATCTCTGGTTTCTCTTTAAACAAAGAGCACAAGATAACCATTGATTAACCAACTAGATATTGGATATAGCTATAATATTCCAATTGACAGTACAATAAAGGATTACAGAAAAATCTTTATCTGCCATGACAATTAGATTATCTTAAGAAGAGTTCAAAACATGCACAAGAAACAACCTGTGCATCCATATCAAGATCCACCACTTCTCCTGTAGCTCGAAAGATAGGATTGTTTTGAGCAATAATTTCTAGAGCCTTGTTAAGATCTTCAGGAGGTAAAGAGCTCAGGCCAACACTAAGTTCTCTTTTCTCCTTTGTCGACATTTTCCTAAAAAATTAGGTAGTTAGTCATGTATAAACCTAACTGATGCCAGTCAACAAAGGTCATCGTTAATTAAAAAATATATTATGCTAAATACTTTGGAGTACAACTAAAATTACGATATCATGTCCTGAAAGAAAGTTGAGGCAAGTAATCAACTAATTAACAATATATTTCATTACAAATGAAAAGAAAAGATTTTCTTTTCTTTATACTACATTTTCAGGAGAATACTGATTATAGCTAATTTTAGGATCTCATTATCCCCATACTCCACATTATGTGGAACATTCTGGTAAAATTTCTTTGTTAGAATCATATTCAAGCCTTTCCTCATAAAGAGAGTGAAGACAGCCCGATTAACACTGTATTTTACATAAGATTAGCAGCTTTCAAGACTACAATATGTTTTATACAAAAGGCTTTCAAGTGCAACAGTCAACACATCTGAGCATTAAAATACCACTTTTGAAGTCATAAACAAAGATCCTTGTCTTCGAGAACTGAATTTAACATATTATCTATTTAAACAAAGATTCTAAAGTCTGAAAGATAATCAAACTCATATTGACTCTATTTAAACTAATAGTAATACTAATTAGCTCAAGTAGACCTATTAAGTTAAAAACTCACTGAGAAGGATTCAAGTGTATGATATTTTAGCTTTACTAGATTGTATCAACCTAATTCATTGCCTCATGTTCATACAAAACGATAAACACAAAATTGTTGGACCATTAATGAGTGGTACCGATCGAATTTCTGCTGTACCACTCGATACAATAGGCATATCGGTCATACACCTTATACCAGTGTGTTTAGCTGAAATAGGCTGGTTTGGGTTTCAGGAAGCCATCAAACCAGTACATACCAGTCGTACCATCCCATTTCAGACAAAATTGCAGTCCATTTATAAAAAATGTAGGCAGTCACACTTGAGAGTTCGACCATATCTTTCGCATACAAAGTTTGCATTTATTGTTGAGATGCCATCTACAATACAACTGCAATACATATTTGAGTTGTTCTAACAAAATCAATTGAAAATCTTTTTGGATAAGTTGTAAAAATAGGGAGTAAGAGATCCACCTGAACTCTCATATCTTCTTTGTGGAAACAGGTAAATCTCAACATTTAAAAAGGGCAAACCCAATGCATGAAGCTCCCGTCAATATGGGATTTAGGAATGGTCAAAGTACGCATCCTTACGTCCATATTCAAAGAGACTTTTTTCTGAGACTTGAATCCTAGTTTCCCAAGTCCTAAAGTGGCAAGTTACCACTGAACCAAGGTCCACCATCTCAAGCAAATCCCAACAATTAGTTCATGAAATTAGCAAGAAATAAGAATTGATAATACATAATACAATAGCAACTAAATGATTTAAAAATGTTATATTGATATTGGACAATGGAAATTACTAATATGAGATAGAAATTAGTAGTAACTGACACCTCACCCTGCTATTATGTTCTGCTATCACGTTCTTAGATGGGATTGTCTAAAGCATGCAACACCCAAGCAACACCCGCTCAGAAGAATCACTCTATACCTTAACCTCATGGAATCCACCAAAAAAAATTAGAAAGACAAACACATGGGTAATATGCCACTATCACACACAAAAAAGGTAAGAAAACCAAGATCACAAATAATACAAAGCAACTAGATTTTATTAGGTATAAAAAGCTCTCAAGAGCGGGTTGACAATCGCCTATAAAGGGCTTCCAAAAGCAGTGCAGGCCCAATAATGTTCATTTAGCACTTTTGTCAAATAGAAAATGGGCACACTAAAGGCATTGCACCACCCGTCAGATATATAACTAAGGCCGCATCTAGTCCGATGCCACCTAGGGGTTCTAGGGTGCTAAGATCAGTAATGTTTTTGCCACAAGGTCATCAGCCAAAATTCAAACAATGGCACATGAAAATGGGGTTGTTTCACACGAAAATGGCTACACCACTCAGCCTATAACACTTGTGTGTCTTACAAGACAGGAACACAACTAAAAATGCTACCAACCAAGAAAAGCGGGGCTACCATGACTACTGCACACCCTATACAAACTGTCTAAGCTTACATTACATAGCATGACTAATTATACTGCAAGTGTGGAACGCATTTGCAAGGTCTGCCATCTTGCTAATTATTTTACAAAGGCAGTTCTCAATTTAATGCTAAATAAAGAAATGGGCCAATTAATTTTTCTTCTCATTAACTTTTAGTTCACAACCTTTTTCTGTCACACTGCTCACTTCCATAAAATATTAGAAAATTAAATTAACCGAGTTTCAAATAATTTAGCAGAATTTTCGTATCTATATATTCTACAATCATGGTGAATAAATAAATAGTTACCTGCACTTCTGTATTACCAACTCCCTTAGCTTTTCCAAATGCAAATTGAGTTCATCAAGCTGAAAGTTAATCACAAAGAAATTGTCAGACACTGAGGGATTTCTCAAAGACAAGATTACGTTCATATTGACAGGTATGCTACTGGAAATGCTGACCACAATGTCCAATTGTGGCTATGATCCAGGAAACTCCCAAAAAAAATTTGTGCAGGAAAAAGAAAATCAAATCCATCCAGGTCTAGCAATTAAGCATTCCACACTGTCATAATCAACAACACTACCCTTTAAATCATTTCCATCTTCCAAAATAATGGCCATTGCTCAAGGAAACCATTCTGCCTACAGGTGGATTCAAGAGTACCTCGCTGCTGGTATCTTTGGCCATTGTCTCATAAGAAGCCTCGTGAAAAATTTGCATATTTGCAAGATCCCAAGCCTCATCCTCCTTTTGTCTTGCTTCCTGTCAAGTGAAAACCAAAGAATAAAAATAAAAACAAACAATTTTTATATGGAAGAGAGATAAGTGGTCAACTTGACACGACAAAAGCTATTCCATATCCATGCAGAAATACAAAAGAGGAACTGCTAGCAAGAAGTGACAAAAAGTGCAACAGAAATTAGAAAATTATTGTTTACCTCTTCAACAACTTTAGGAAGTAGTTGCAGCCACTTCTCTTCAAATTTTTCCAGCAATGTTTTAGCCATAACATGAATATCAGTTCTGTCATCGTTGTATGTCATTGCATTAGCGAAAACCAATCTCACATCAGCATATATTTCACGGACATTCTTATATCCACTGCCATCCTTTGCTTCCATTTGGTTCTTGATTGTAGAAAAGTCCATGGGCCTTTTAATAACCTAGGTTGCAGAGAAGTCCAAATGTTGTTTATCAAAATAAGATCAAATAAAGCTAAATGAAGTTTCCGAAGGAAAGCAAGTCCTTTGACAAGAAAATCTGATGAATCTGATTTATTCCTCAGATGACCATTGAAGTAACTAGCTACAGGTTTACCCAAATTTAAATAGCACTCAATTATACATGCTATTATAGTGATCAAACCAGAATGACAAAGAAGATTTTACTTGATCTTAATATGGTGTACTAGAAATTTATTCACAATGGACTAAGGACATGAGATATACAAGAATCATAAAGATACTTCATGTCTCAGCCAAAAGGAAAAAAAAAATCTAAAACTTCCATAAGGAAACCAATGGTTGTTTTCAAGACTACCAAGCATTGTTGTTAAGATTTATTCCACAATAAAAAAGAGAATATGTAATCGAGAAGAAGAATGAGATATGCTTCAGTACATTTCGAACTTGAATTTTACTATATAGACGAACTATTGAATTAAGATGGTCAGCTTCATATGTAGAATTCATTCCAGCAACTTCAAGTCACTCGTTTATGATAGAAAGTCAAAGAGTATGTACAAATAATTGAAAGAAAGCATATATAGTGGAGGATAAACAAGGATCGCACCTCATGATAGTCATCTAGACCAAGACCCTTAACATCAACAGGCTCCATGAATGGCCAAGCCCACTTGTGCTGTGACATCTACAAAAAGAATAAGGGACTACTTAATGAGAACAATTAGAAAAGGTTGCAGTGAGAATGATAGAGTACATAATTGCTTCCAGCCGAGGTGTGTTTACACTAAAGTAATAACAGATAGAACAAGGAAAAGCATGATGTGCAAGCAGTTTAGTGAAGCATAAAGCAAGAAATAAACATTTGATCCTAAGACCCATAACTTTCGTGTGGGCCATTGTATATTTGCTTACGTCTTATCTAATGCCCATAATTTTTAAAGTTTATGCAATAAACTTGGACCTAAAGGGAGCCACAAAACAACCTTGTACGTGAAATGCACCAAGTTTTAAAAAAGGGATCTCACTGTTTTTTTATTTGTTCTGACATCTAAGTTCATGTATATACATACATCTAAACGTAAAAAATCAACTTAAGGCATAATAAGAAGTGCAAAGTCAGTGCTTGCCTGCTTCAATATGGTGCCAAACTGCCGCATGAGCTCCTGCATTCTCTTTGAGCAAATAACTTCCTTTGGACACCCTTCAACCAGCTTGCCACCACTATGGTTGCTTCCACTGTTATTAATAGCACTAAATTTATCCATCTCCTTAACCTTGCCACCGGAGCTCCCTTTAGAGGTTTTTGGTTGCTTTCTAGTCGCATAGTGCTCCAGAACCTCATTCACCCTTTGCTCCAGCTGCAATCCAACAACAATATTAACAAAAGCCACAAAAGGATACGGAACAATAAGTCATAGAAAAGGATCTAACTGAATGTATTACCACGATACCTCATCGACCTTAGAATTGTATTCATCGACACGATGCTTCCACCGTTCGACATCGCTTTGGGGGTTTTTCGGACTCCGCTGCAACTCCGGCGCAGTTGCCATTCTCAATAGGAGGCGGCGGCGGAAGTGTGCCAGCCGCGGCCGCGGCTGCTTCTTCTGTTGAAGCTACCATCTTTTATATCTCAAATCTTGGTAAAAATTTACAGAAATCTTTTTTTAATGCAATGTTGCCGAAAATAAAGGAAAAATGGAGCAGAAAAAAGAGGAATTACAGTGTAGGGTTTACTCGAGGATTTAGGGGAGGGAAGACTACCTTTCCCGAGCCCTCCCCAAACGATCACCGCCGAGGCCGCAAGTGGCAGTGGTAGATGCGGCCAATTTATAGAACGAAAGGATTGATACCAACCATCAAATAAAATATGTCTGGATCGATAACCCGCCTCGGAGTCTTTCTAAATATTCTTACTTATAAAAAGGACAAATTTCCCAGAAAACATTTTGTTTTCACTTTTTCCTTTTTTTTGTGTGTGTGTTTGTTTTGCAAAGAGATCCAGTTTTTTTTTTTTAAGATTATTATTTGTAACCCCCTTCTTGTTATTTATAATTTTAAAAATTTTAAATTTATTTCTTTATATATATATATATATGTATATATATGCTCAATCTAAGACTTAATTCTAATAAGATCTTTTTACTATTTAACTACAATTCTGTTCTCCTCTTTTATTTTCTAATTTTTCTTCATTTCATTCTTCTCCTCCTCTTAATCTAACAATTAAGACACAATCTCACACTTTTAAGACACAATCTAACAATTATTCAATCAAAATAACATGACATAAAAGTAATATTTTCTTGAATCAATCAATCTATCTATCTATCTACCGTTGGATGCTGTTGTCAAGTAACTTGACAAATATAGGAGGATCCTTTGCAAATCAATAGAGGTATGAACTAACAAATGTTTGCGGGTTCCTCCCATCTTCTTAGCAGGAAGATTATATTTACCTCACCCAATAGTTTTCTAGAAAAGAAGAAATCGTTGATGGATATAAATAACTTCCTTCTTTCTCTCCAAAGTATAAATGAATTGTTCCTTGTGACATCTTTCTCCAAGTAAAATGTGTGTGTAACTTCAGTTATACAATCAAGATCATGAATATATATTATCTCGAAATAACCATACCAAATAAATAATCAATTCCAGCCCAGATGGTTGGTAAGATATGTTATTTTAAGTTTATAATCAATCTCTTCCAAAATCCCAAAAAATCTAATAAATCTAATACCCAATGTAGCAGTATTTACGCCAATTATGTTATTGTTCAAGAGAGGAGCAACCAATACTATCATCCAGCTGAGTGTTGTGTTGATCAAAGTAGAATCAAAAGGTAAAGAGCACACTCACTGCTGCAAATCCTAGCCTGGCAACACGACCAACAAAGAGCTCATTCTTCTTGGAGAAACCACCAGTGTTCCCGGAGCGGAGAAGCCAAAGATACCATCTTCAACCTTTAGCATGACCTGTAGAAACAGCCCAAAAAAATGGTGGCCAATTTTGTAGCTCCGTTTAAAGTATCCAATTAACAGACCAGGTGTGATGCAAGGTCACACACCTTGTATGAAGGTTGCTTATGAAACTTAGTTTTAGCTTCTCTAACTCCCAAGTAATCCATACAGATGATACAGAGTGCAGAGGAGAGCAGTTTGAATGAGACTGACTAAATGATACTTTTTCTCTTCAACCACTAGAGTTTGCATTTCATGCACTAACATGATTCAAAAGCTTGTAGAGGATGATCATAGCCTGCTTTAAAGTGTCCCTTGAAGCCTTTTTTAAGCAGCAAACGAAGAGCACACCCTTCAACTAGCTGTTCATTTGAGAAGAAGCTTACTGATTTCATTGTCCAAGTACCTATACAGCTAGATACATTATAAAATAATTCTAAGATCAACAAATGTAAATGGTTTCATGGTGTAGTGGTTAGCACTCCAGACTTTGAATCTGGCGACCTGGGTTCAAATCCCGGTGAGACCTATGTATTAGTAGATGTCATGTTTAAAAGTATATCCTATTTTTGGTTTTTCTCGGATCACTCTTTTTTCTAGTTCTCATATTCGAATTGAAATCGGTTCGATTGAACTAGTCATAAAACTTCTGGATAAAGTTATAGTGTTCTCAAATGGAACATAGAATAGTTCTCTAAAAAAAAAAATCATAATTAAAAGCATAATTTTTTATAAATATCTCATATTTTTGGTTTCAAAAGTATCCAATATTTTTTGTTTTTCTCATATCAATCTTGTTTTGTCAGCAAAGAGTCCTATTTTTTTATATTCGAATAAAAATCGATTGTGCTGATTATAGATTATCCCTTATAGTTAGTTATGTTTATCATTCTAGTATCTACACTTTCAAAAGATACATTGGGATTATTATACTTCCGAAAATAAAATATTTAATCACGTTTCTTCTCACGATATTAATTCTACCGATGGAAATACTACACGTATAGTCACGAAAATGACTCTAAAATGATGTTTAAAAAGTAATTTTTATAATCCCTATGTACCATTGCCAACTTTTTTTTACTCATCGGCATCTCTCTATATCCAACTTCTATCCTACACAGCTTCCCACCACCAACGTTAGATCACTCCATCCTTGTTGCCTCTCCCGCAACCCAAATGACACCCTTCTTTAGGAGCTGAATCATTTTGCTTGCATATACTCCCTCTATTTGATGACTCCGTTTTAGCAACGCACATTAGCTTCTCGACATGCTCAATCAAGCCTTGACTGCCAACAAACATTGTCAAAAGGATGCAGAGGAGCATCATGTAGTCAGTGGTTGGCTTGGCGATCTCAAATTCTACGACAAGGTTGATGTCCACAATGTAGCAAGCATTGCCCCTAGCGATCACGTCGATGTACTTTATCACTAGAGACTTTGTCAGCTCTCATCACCCACTATCGAGTCGTCCTCCAACTCAACCAGCACGGCCTCAAATGAGCATTCTTACGGTGATGTTCGATAGCTGATCATTTTCTGCTTGTTTCCTAAGCATAATAAAAATTGACTCGCTGTTCCTTTTACTTTTGCTTATCTTTCTAATATCCGGACACTAAGAAACATGTGATGATAATGCATCCATCCTCTGTCTTTTTCAAATCAAGAAAAACGAAGGGATAAGAATCAAGAAGCATCGTTCTTGTAGCTTTACGTAACTCCAATCTTCCACACAAATCAAGCATCGTTTGCAGTGTCGCCTTGTGCAGAATTCCATCTCTGTGATCACATCAATGGTGGCTATATGGGGAAGTACTACTTGCGATGCTTTGCGACCCTGTTCCTTAGAGCCACCGCCACGAAGTCCTCCTCCTGCCTCTGCTCGAGCATGGCCTTCGACATGGGGTATTGCCGGAGCTGGAGGGTGGTCAATGCATTGGGTGCGTGGAGGACTACATGCTCCGAGGCCAATACAGCAGGTATCTTGACACCGTCATCGACCAGATCTTTATCTACCTTGATGGGATCGTCACGACCGACGACGGCATGGATGCGTGGATCCTCGACGTCGACGGCACCTGCTTGTTCAACCTTGTATACTACAAGGACAAACAACTTTGGGTAATGCAGGACAAGATTTGAGTTCTTCTTGGTCGTAATGAGCTGAGCTGCTGACGATGATACGGCTTTGTCGTTCCAGCGGAGACTCGTTTGATCCCTTGGCGCTCAAGATCTGGGCTCTGAGAGTGGTTCGTCCCGCGATTCAAAGTCTTCCTTGTCACAGGAAGATGATATGAAGAGGTGTGCGGTCCATCAAAGTTGGGGAATTGCTTGTGCAGGGGTTCATAGGACATGAGAGGTTGATCATGTGGTAATGCATGGATTATTAATCTTCAATGCAAAACACATCGTCCACTCGATCTACTGAGTGAACAGCTAAAATGACTGTTTATAATAGGAC